GGGGGGGGTTCTCGTCGCTAGGTCTGAACTTCAGCCTTTCGCTACTCTTTTACTTGTTGCTGATTTTATCAATTCAGCAACCAATAAAAGGGCGAATATAAGAATAAGGACATAATTCAAAAAATTATTTCCAGCGTCTCTGAGGTACTAAATATCGAAATGTTAGACAGGCAAATTTGAACGAAAATTGGGCAGATCGCCAAAACTGATGCAAAGACACCTATGTGGAGTTGCGTTGATGCGGAAAACATAGAATTGGGGAGAGCGGAAAAGCTGACAGTTGGCATTAATAACGAGAAGCGATGATGAAAGAACAGCTGGTTAAAGTGCCAGGGAAGATATTTTTCTATTTTATTTCACTGTTTACTCGATGATTATTTATTATAAATGAAAGAAGTAAAACGTCAACTCTACTCGAAATGATTAGTCCTCTTACTTCAATTTCGAAAAACTTGAAAAATTATCAAATAAAAATACTTTTAGATATTAAACTCCAGTTTCCCCCCAGTGCTATTCTAATAGGCTAAGGAGTTAAGTGCAAGAACTGATTGTAATATGAATCAGCTGAATTCTCAACTGATTATTTCTGGAGAAAAAAAAAACCTCGTCAGAATCAAACAAACACGCCGCAAGCAGCTTGGCCACAGCACCGTACCGCTGCCGCTGCGGGCCATCAGGAAGAGCCAGTGCTGTAGGAGCCAGCTGCTTTTCCCATACGGCAAAAGCCTCCTGCAAACAGATAGTAGAAAATCACTGAATTTTTTATCATATTATAAATTCTAGCCTAAAGTTCAAATTGCTTCTCTTTTTTTTCTGGTTCTTGGAAGAATTTCTGGTTTTTAGGCAGTTTCTAAACTACGTTTTTCAGCTTTTGTCAGTTGATCTTACAAATCTTTAGTTTCGATTAATTTTTAGTTTTCCAAAGAATGACAGGTGCTAGACGGGTACTGGAAAGGCAGCCAAGTAAATATGGAAGGATCCCACTTGAACTTCTATACGAAATTATTTGGATGGGGTAAGCTCTGGACAGAGCAGGAGGGGGGAGTTATCAAATGTTAACACTAATAGCGAGGAGGGATAGAGCGATGAAAGGAGGAAAGAGTGAAACTTTCAGCAATTTATTGAATGGCTATTATTCCTTTAGCAGAGTTAAGATCTGATAAAAGCTAAGTTTTTTTTTTTTGAAATCAGCTTAGTTAATTTTCTTTTGAAACAAAGTTTCTTATGTCCAAAAGTTTCAAATATCCCGTTCTTTTTCGATTCCATATCCAAACACATACAAAAAAAAAAAAAAAACCAAATCTCCAAACCTCTAAAATGCCTTATTGTGGCCGAAAAGAATGCACTAGAAAGTTCATTTCTGAAAACTTTTTTACTGATACATGGTAATACTATGAGGAGGAGTGCCCTGAGAACCAATGTCGAGATCCGATATTGCTGTTGTTGTTGAATTATAAAAAAAGTACGTCCGGTGTAGCTGTGCCAAATTCCCAAGTATTGAAATTAAGGCAAACTATATGGACTGTTCTGACAGAGCTGCTC